GACAACGCTCGTCGTACAGCAAAAGACTGTTTCTAGTATAGAAAAATTGCCTTATGAGGAAAGGATCAAGAATAGCGCGTTCGATCTCCATATTTGTGTGTGGTGGACGATGCGGCGGAAGAACTGAGCGTAGAGGAGAGAAAATGGATAGGGAGCATGAGGGCAAGTGAGACGCAGACACTTCGCAGAGTACGCGGTTGTGTTGCGATTCCTAGCTGCAACGTGTTCCAGCAGCAATTAGTCCTTTGGTTCCGTGCCGCATATCCAAGCCATTGCTTTTTCCTACCTTCGTAGACATCTCTATTTGTTAACAGAAAAATTGATTGGTCTAATTATGAAATCTAAATCTAGATGAAAAAATGTCTACTTCTAGGTATCATCACACCGCTCCAATTTCAAGCGTTTATGCTCTGCGAAGCGCTTTGGCCGTAATAGCCAAAGAAGGCGTGGACGAGAGTGTGCGCAGGCACGAGGAGAATGCGCGTTTTCTCTATGAAAAACTAAAGGAATACGGCTTGGAATGTTTCGTTGAGAAAGAGGTCCGCGAATTTGATTCCCATTCTTCCTTCCTTTCCTTTATTTACCCTACTTAATCCTTTCTTAGCACTGAGACAAGATCGTGTTATCTATTATATGATTTTCGCAAGGTACATTTCCAGAAATGGCGATTACCGTGCCTGACCACAGTTAAAATACCAGATGGTGTGGACTGGAAGGGAGTAATGGAGGAGATGATGAAGCAAGGAACTGAGGTAAGTAATCGAATATGGATCTGTTTGACAGCTGGTTCAGCCCATGGTTCTCGACGTTTTACTGAACAATTGCAGATTGCTGGTGGTTTGGGACCCACTGTAGGTAAATTGTGGCGGATAGGAACATTCGGTGGAAACTCGGACAAGGAAAAGATAGGAAACGTCATAAAACTACTCGCCGATACTATCAAAAAGAAGTCGAGTATATGAAGAATGTTTATTAATTTATAGATTTGTTTATGTTAAAAATTTGTAAACTTTTATATTATGACTTTGTTCATGAAACGATTTGAAAAAAATTTGTGTGAATTTATGAGAAAAAAATTCCTCTAATTCACTAATTTTGACATTAATTCCAACCTCTCTCCTTGAAATAATCTTAACTCTGTGCATCATTGATGTGATTTCTTGCGGGCTCTTTTTGGCTATATTCTGTGCCATTTATTGTCTGATAAAATGATTTTGTTTTCTGTAATCACATGTATCAGCATGTTTGTAACAGTATAG